GCTGACCTTAGGGGTCGCCAAAAGAAGTAAAAAAAAAGTAAAATTTTATATTGAATTGCATTAATACATTTTTCATATTGGAAGTCAAGAAAACCGACTGTTCCTAAATTGCTTTACAAAGTTCTTTAACTCTTCCTACATCAAGTGTGCGATACCAAAATAAACACTGTTAAGGGGCAGTGACATTTATAACCGTTCACTACTTTTACTTATTTTGCCAACATTTACAAAATAATTTACAAAATAAGGAAAGCGGGAGCGCAAAGCTGATAATTTGCCCCCGTGTGCCAGGATGGGTCGCTACGCCTCCATAGAGTACACGCACTTTTTTTGTTGAATTAAACGATACATAAGTTAACTCCTTTTGTCCAATAGTGTTAGTGGTCGTATGGTCGCTTTGTCTCTCCCAGTATCAAATCCGTCCGTTTCCTCATGTTGTCTTCCCATTTTTGTTTGCCAACACTATACCTTGAGTAATTTTTCTCCACATCTTACGATAGTGATTGTTTAGCATATAAGAGGACATATCTTAAAACCTTGATAAAAAAACAAACTAAAAAGCTTAAAAAATGGTCTATAGATATTAGACAATATTATGTTTCATTGACATAACTTTTAAGCTAGATCACTGAGAAATGTATGTATATTTATAACGGATGCAACTTTTTCAAATATTAGTTTTAATTCGTCGATACTAAACAAAAATATACCGGGACTATCTCCTCTATACTTTCTCGAATGTGCTAATATAACACTACGGGGGATGGCAACTCAAGATATAGACATGATTTTTAATCCGTTTTTGATTACTTAAGCTTTTTAAAATAGAATAGAATCTCGTAGAAAAAAAAATTGCGCACTAAGTAAACGCCAAACAATATGTGTAAAATAGTGCAGAATATTATTAGTTCTTTATAAATTCACATGCGTCTTTTTGAGAAATCGGAAATAGCGTAAATCACTACTTCCGGTCAATGCAATATAATTAAAATTTGTTAGTAGGTAAGATTAGATCTATTACTTTCATGTGAACTTGCATTAATCTATCTGCAACAATACTTAAGCTATAGAAAGTAGAAAAATTGAAAGTAGAATAAGTTCCATTTCCGGTTACCGGAAATCGCTGAAAAGTTGATACAGAACTACAAATTTGTTATAATACATATATGAAGTTTCATCAACCTAGCTGTAAAGGTACTCAAGTTATCGTGTTCACAGACACACATACACAGACACATACACACACACAGACATATAGACAAGATTGTTTTTTCCGACTCAGGGAGCCTAAAACGTCGAGATTAGCAAACATCTCGATTTTTTTTGCACGATTACAATACTTTATCTATACTTCGTATACGATAAAGTAAAAATAGATACATTTCCTCGTATACAAAGTATAATATAGCAAAAAGAAAAACTACCGCGTGTATCATGTTAAAAATAAATATTCCGTACTATTATACATCAAAAATTGTGTAAAAGCACCTTTTTAGTATTTTGGGTGTAACGAAGGCTAGATAAAATCTTTGCAAGTATAAGTGACTGTCTATGTATCAGCTTCTCCCTGTCTATTTCTTCCCATTGTTATTTCCTCGCTAACGAAATAGGGTAGAGGTGGGAAATCCGTTCCGGTGTGTCATTCGTTTTACCCTTATTTCGCGTAAGCCATAAACAACATTTTAACAAGCTGAGGTTAAATTTTACAAGACAATTCAATGTCTATTGAATAATTGTTTTGCGACCATTAAGGTTAATGGGCGTGCAGTGACCAATAGCCGTTAAATAGTTATACATTTGGTAATATTTGGACCCATGTGCGGGTAAGCAGAGCCTTTTTGTAAATGTTTTGTCTTTCATTACTGGACTCTTCTTCATAATAATTACACATTAAAACCATTATCTTTTGGTCAAGTTTAAAATAACGATTGTTTCAAAGGAAAAGTAAGTTATTTCTGACTTGCAGTTGTTTTAATTTTGTTTTCCTGATTGGTTACAAATTATACACTTTCATCTATATATTTTATATTTTACCAGTAGAATGAGATACGCAGCATTATATTATCGTATGTCTGAAGTGGGCAGACACAGTAGGAAAGGAATAGTTTTTCGAAGTTTGCTTTGGAATAGAATCCAAAACAAAGTAAGTGGCTAGGTGTAAAATAGCAGGGGCCCCGTAACTAAATCCGCATTTATAACAATACAAGTTTTGAATCAGTATGATATTTAAAAGATAAATAAACGCAAAAAAATAGAATATCTTTATTTAAAAACACACATCTATTACATTTAAAAAATTTCCTTATGTTAATAAGTAAATCATCCTATAAATATAAACTCCTACACGATGCTCAGTTTAAAATATCCTCCTAGACCTACACGATGCTCAGTTTAAAATATATTTTAAAAAATGTTGTGACCGAACGAAAGGATATTTTTGAAAACTTTCTTTGGCGATATTGTTCTACATTCTGGCAGGACTCGATTGGTAAATGTTTCAAGTCGCTAAGTGTTTAAGTTGCCGAGATATGGACCAAAAACTGCATTTGTTCGAGGTTTTTTGGCTTTTCCGGGAAATCCAGGAAGGAATTCCGAGAATTCTTTTGGCCCACAATCATCCTCGGAACTTGCTTAACATATTTGCTTTTGAAACTAGTCCTCGATATTGCTTCGATGAGGAGGAGATACGACTTAAAGCTGGGGACACACATCCATCCAGAAATGACGAGTTAATAATCGCAACTGTCCGTATGGAAATTGCGCTAAAAAATAGGCCCTCTCTAAGAAGTACGTATTATAATTTTAGATTGAATATAACCAATTACATTAAACTTTAATTCATTATCGTCTAAATTAATGGTTTTTATACTCATAATTTGTACATTATAGTTTCTTCTTCATTAATAATCAGGCATGAAACGATAGTTGGCATGATTTTCTACTTTTGAGAGAAACTAAATTTTTATGTTTGAGATCATTTGTTCAATTATGGCACGATTTTAAATATTTAATTTTGCGGGGATCATTGCAGCTATAAGCGTTCATGTTGTTATACGTGATAGACATGCACTACAACTAGATGAAGATTACGCTAACTCTAAAATAAAATGTGAGCTACAAAACACACAATTTATAATATGTTATTTAGGTGCCAAACTTCACAGTACAATTTTTAAAATAATATAATAAAAATAAAAAATTGTAGTGAATACAAGTGAAATTTAAAAATAAATAAATAAATAATCATAAGCATTCAGTGCACAAAGAAAATGTACGTTATTCGGTACATCGAAATATTTTGATCTATAACACATCTAAACTGTCCAAAATACACAACAAATTGAAACATTTTAAGACACACAAATAGGACTTCTTTAAGTAATCAAACATATTAAAATATTACTATGTTTTAAAATAAATGAAGATCAACAATATCGAAATTTTGAGTTAGATTATAAGGTCTATATTTAAAAGTGCATATATTATAAAAGAAATTTTAGTATAAATAGCCAACTAATAATAGTAATTGTAAAAAGCAGTCAAACTAACAAATACATTTGTTAAATGTTATAATAATTAAGAAAATGTTGATCTGCTTTATGTTTGCTATATAATTAATGTAGTAAATTTTAAAATGTTCTTTTATAATCATGAAAATAATTATTACATTCATAAAAAAATTGAAAATATAGATCTTGATTTGGAAATATAATTTGTAAGTAGTAAAATTCGCTTTTTGGAAGATAGGATTAAGATTATCTAGGTTTAGACAAAACTTTTTCTGGTATTAATATATATTTTATCATCATCATTTTTCCTTTTCATTCTTTGCAGAAAATAGGACCTATGGCTGTCCACTCCCACGTTCTTCTTACACTCTTTTCAGATAAAGTGGAGAATTAGTTGTTTTTGTATGTCGCCACAGAAAACCCTGCTTAAACATGAGTTCTTAATGCTAGAATATAACATAAGAATATATCATGACTCACAATTAAAATAGAATATAATTACTGTTAGTATACAAAATCTTATATTATTTTAAAAATAAAAATTGATATTATGATTATTTTGCCAAGATGTTGTTTAACCTTTGTGATTGCAAAGTAGTTTTAAATTATGATTATGTTTAATTAAGTAATTTATTTTATGTGATAATGTGGTTGAATGGTAGAGATTGCGGCTACTAGCCCTTAGGTCTGAAGTTTGGATCACGATCCTGAATTGCTACTGTAAGACGTCTATCGGTCCATCCAACTCTTATAGGTACCTGACTTACGTTGTGAAAAGTAAAGGCGACAGGTCGTAGCGCTGTCTATATCATCTCTTTGTTACGAAACATATTAACTCTACCTTGTCTGCCCTTTGGATCTGTAGGCCTGAAAGTGACGCTTTTTTAAATGTCAATGATATTACACTTTGTAAACAATACCGGTAATTTAACTGTTAATAAAGTTATTTCTAAAATCATCATTTTGAAAACCAAAACTCATACTCAACAATAAAATTACTCTGGGTTATGCACTGAAATATTAAATATTAAAATGTGTTTATAATTAGCGATATTAAAGACATGCATTTAAATAAAAATTGAGATGCATTATTCAACATACAAGTTATAAAATGAATAAAATACAAATAGATAAAGTAATTGTAGAAAATAATGTATAGAATACAAAGGTCTTCTTAAACATCGGTACAATCTAAACAGATGCGGTAACTAATATACCTTTTAAATCACAATAATAATTATAATAAAGACAAAATTCAAAGAGCGTACATTAAAGCAAACGCAGAAATATAGATAATTTTACAAAAGTCATTGATAGCAAAGCAAGAAAATAAACAACTTCCAAATCTGCATTGTCAGCCATTTTTGTATGTTTTTTGAACATTTAAAAAAAACCACTAGAATAAAGTGTATACATTTTTTGTCAAATTTAATGCACTGTTCATGTTTTGCTTTTTTTTTAAACTACAAAAATATGCAGTAATTTATGAATTTTTTTCGTGCTATCTAAACTATAGCGGGAGCTGCTTGTAAGCTAAAGGTAATAATATATTCTGGATACGCTTGGCTGTCATGAAAGATGACGTATATTCCTTCTAGTCGATCAGGTGGGGCTTTTCCAGAGTCATATGGAATATCCAGCCCGGGTTGTTTAGGGAGAACTTTTGTGTCTTTTTTTGTTTCTACTGATTTTCCAACAAGTACGTTAACCAGGTAAAGCTTTCTGTGGTTGTTGCTATCCTCATCTGTAAATGATTCCGAATATTTGGAAGATTGGGCAAAATATACTCCATAACCATACCAGGTACCTGAAAAGAATAGAGAATTATGTTTAATATAAACATAGGCCTATGTTGTTTTTAAAATAAATACTTTTATAAAATAGTGATATTGATTTTTATAATTGATTATCAAAAAATGGTAAATAAGCATACTACAATCACCTTTTTGAAATAAAAATGTATATTTATGCTCAATTGATAACCCATTAAATAGATGCATGACGGCAATAAATGTCAGTTTCAGTATGCCACACATGATTAATCATTACAATGTTGACATATTTTGTTTAATTACTATTAGACAATAAGACTCATTCATAAAATCTATTGTCTTAAAATATATGAGCCTAAATATATAAATTAAAATAGTAGAAAATGTAATTGTAATTTACATAATTCTACTCAACAAATAAAATTGTATCATACATTTGCTTTAAAGTTCAAAATTACACCATTTTTGTGTCATATTGTGTAAAGTACAAATTAGTGTAATATTAAATTAAAATGTGTTGAATAATTGAAGTTAAAATAGTGTTAGCAATAACATTATAGTATTTAATTACAGATACATTGGTAATATCGATTATATATTCCGCAGTTTTTACGTAGTAGTTCTATTTTCAATTTATGGTTAGGATAATCATATACCCAACCAGCTAAATATAGTAAGACACGCTTGCGGCCGTATTTAGGGAAGTGTTGCGGGTAATGATATCACATGTATCACTTCTTCTTCTTCTCGGTTATTAATTCTAATAATAGGAAGAGATTTCCTCCATCACAAAATAGTATTGCGGGTAAATATGTTATGCGCTGTTGATTCCGATTGTAGCCTTGGGGGGGGGGGATAGCTTCCTTATTATTTGTTCCTCCAAGAACAAAATACAAGGCAGCAGTTGTTTGATCTTTGTTTTTTTTCTCCTAGATTAGTATCTGTCCTCGACTATCGAGCCTATTCTGTCCGGGAATTTCACGAGGGTTATAAAATAAACTAGCCATCGGTACACGTTTCACGTGAATTATAGGCCTATATATTTTAAAATGTTGTACTTGTTTGAGAACAATAATTTATGAAATATTTATTGGTCAAAACGCAATGTGCTTTACTACACGCTGAACGATATTAGTGACAAAGCAAAGAAATAGCTAATTAGCTAAAATCCGACACATTTAACATAACACAGACACACACTAATTAAGTGACTTAAATGATTCCGCTAAAAATCTGGCTATTCAATGGTCATTATGTTGTTTTTAAGTAATTTGTATTAGTGTGACTGATAAAATTGTATATATTTCATAGCGTACGTCTTGATGAGTAGATCTATATCAAATTTGAATGAAGTAGTTCCTTTCTTTATAGTCTAAAATCGGAAGATTCACGTACAAAAAAATATAAAAAAATTAAGTGTGATTTTGTGTGTCTCGAACCCGAACCATCTGCGTGGTATTAAGTACACTAGCATCCCAGCTATGTATGCACCTTATAAAACACGGAAAATGAAAGACGTATTTAAAAACTTACGCGAATATGCCTATTCTTTAAAATTATTTTCTTTATATCAAAAACAGAGTTTCTTCCAGTCATCTCCTCGCCCCCCCCTCCCTTGAACGAAATGGAATGTATATAGAAAATATATACTTTTGACAGTGTCTGGCCCCTCTCCGAAAATCGTTGTCCCCCCCCCCCCCCCCCCGAAAATTTCAAGTGCACCCACGATAATATAGTCTGGAAGAAACACTGATCCCAAATTAGCCAGTTCCATAGCTAAACAAACAAAGATATTTCTATAAAATAAATAAGGCCTGAAATAGTTTAATGTACACATTTATTTTTGGAATAGATTCTAGAGAAGATAGAGTCTAAATCTAGATCTTAGCGACTTAGCGTCTACGTCTAGTTTTTGCGTAGATTTAGATCTAGTCTAGATCTAGAATCTCTAGATCTGGAATCCAAATAGATAAAATAAATTTTATAAGTTTAGGTCGGAAAAATTGTATTTTATACATTTCATAGCGTACGTAGATCTAAATCAAATTTGAATGAAATAGTTAATTTTTTTGTATTCTTAACTCGGAAGATGACATCATTAGATAATGTATAAACATTAGTGACGTCATTGTTTCATGGGATCTTTTTCACAACTATAAACACTTTTCCTGTTGCATAATTAAAAATGTTTTTCTACATTCGAATACGCCTTTATATTTTATTTTTCTTCTTTAAATAAAATGTTGATTATACATTTAAAATATCTACCATATAATTTTTAACAAAAGTCCGTTTCAAGTTCTCCATATATCGCTGAAGACTCTGATGTGATACCCTGCGAAAATATTTTGCGGACAGAGAGAGAGAGAGAGAGAGAGAGAGAGAGAGAGAGAGAGAGAGAAAAAGAGAGAAGTGCGCATATGGTCTTTAATATATTAGGATTAGAAACATATAATCAATTATTCATTTTTTAATTAACATTACCGTTTACACCACAGTAACTCCGATTGAAACCTGTTTTGTTTATATCATCAATTGTTTTGTGAGTGGAGCCATGAAACAGTTTCTTCTCATTTTCAATGCCAGGGTTTCTCTTAACGAGCTCTCTTTTCTTTGCTGCATATTGCTGATACAAAGATCTATTCTGTACACGTTGAATCTGAAATATATATATATATATATATATATATATATATATATATATATATATACAAAATTAATATATATATATATATATTAATATACATTAATGTGAAGAAGTGAAGTGAAATTTGGTGACGTAAAAGAGCTACACTGAAATGACACGGAATACCGGCTCTGGAGTTGGACTCCTGTTAGACAGGCAGGCCTCGACGTAGCGAACTCCAACTAACTGGCAAATGTGTGTGCTTGGGAGCCACACAAAGACGTTGGTTTGATACGCTACATGTTGATCGCTTCTCATCCGTGGGCTCTCACCAGGCTTGTCTTCTCCCCCCCCCCCCCCCTCACCAGACGTGGGACGTCGTACTACCGACTGGTACCCGGCTCGATCGCGGGGAGCGTTCTGTCATTTTTAAAAACAGGCTCGGGTCATGTTTTCACTTTCACGGGCGGGCTTTGTCGTGCCAGAGGACCAAGCCCTACCGGTTCGACCGCCTCATCTGCTATGGTTCTCAGGCATCGCTCAAGACGTCGCCGGTATCCCTAAGCGGTTCCCCTGTCTGCTGGGAAATAGCATTAGATGGAAAGTGTAGAATGAAAATCGCGTAAGCAACAAAGCTTAGATGGTCATTGAACAGTATAGCAATAATAACTAAATAATTTACAAAACCATGGTTAAACATAGCGAAAGTGTTTTTTTAGAAAACATCTCCAGTAATTTAGAATACAAAGCATGTTGGAAAACTAAATTGAGCACACAGTAAAGAAACAACACATAGGCCCACCTCAACAACTGTTCCGGCTGCTCCATTCTTTTTAAAGTAATCTTCTACCTCTTTAAACTCATCGGAATCTTTATCAATCTTAACCAGTCTAAAAGCTTCTTCATCACCCATTCTCTCCCAGTTATCAGGTAACGGTTCACCATCTATTACAAGAATCGAGTAATTTACAACATTTCAACAATTTTACAAAGAGTTAAAGTAGAACAATAAATCGCCACCTAGAAGTGATTAGTCTGTGTTTAAGAAAGTAGAAGGCTAATAAATTTTATTGTAATTTATCTCTTACTGTTAAAAACTAAAACACAGAAGTTACTATTTTTACCTTCACGATTTACAAAGCAGTAGTTTAAAAATGCATGAGAAAAATCATTAAAACCTCGTAATAAACGTAAGTATTATCTATTTTACTAAAACTTGAACTTTTGAATTTAAAAAAATATAATATGATATCCAATGTAGCAATGGTGATGCAGCACACACAATGTTAACAGAGTTCCAATTTGGCTCATAATATATGTTAAAATCCCGTTCACTTGTGCGCAGGAGGCCAGGATACAAAACAAAAATCAAAACACTTTTGAATAAAAAATAAGTTATGTAAATGTAAGAATTTGAATCTGGCATACCAGTTATGTAATGGTTTTGCCAACTGATACAATTAAGTTTTTTTTTCCATCTATTTGATTTTCCTCTGAAATTATTTTATTTAAACTTTTAAGAAATGCACACAAAAACAAATGTTACCCTCTAACACGTCGCGGCGCTTTACATTCATTTTTTCGTTACTGTCTTTATTAGTTATGGTCAAGTTTTTAAAGTCTACAGTATACTCCACATCTTCCATTGTAATCATAGTTGTATTTTTCGAGTCCTTGTATTCTGTCTCCAATTGAAGATTTAACCTAAAACAAGATATATACCAAAATGTTGAAATTTCGACTATACTTTAAAATGTCGATTGATGAGTGCATATTATCTTTATTGTGTGTATGGGCGTGGTTTAGCCCAAAAAAATTGTACATTTTTCAAATTTTGAACTAATTTAAATGAAAACTGTTAGCAATGTTTTGAGGAAGGTTTAAAAATAGCCAGTTATTAAAATCTGTTTAGTAAACAAAACATACTTTAAAAAAGTTTTAAGCCAGAGAAGTGTGTATTTAATTATATTTAAACACGGTGAACGAATTTTATTGACTGTACATAAAAATAGTTTTAAAAGTTTACTTGTTATTTAAAAAAAAACCTTTACCTTAAATAAAGTAGGCCTTTAAAATTAAATGTTACTTTCATTAAATACTGAATATTTTGGAGTATCTATTAATGCATCAAACAATTAAGGTCCACCAGGCGATAGAAATGTATACGTAAAAACACTGCACATCACAAACCAATTTCGTACGACGCTCAACCTACACTTTATAAAGCCATTTAACCACTAAATGAACCGCAATGAAAGACTCAAACTACCGCTTGAACTACTACCGATCTGAACTGCCGAATTTCAGTTAAAACACTAGTTATTAATTGACATTAATTGACATTTTGTTCTATTTGTAAAAACTAGTTTAATATCATGTGTTTCTAAAAAATATAATGCCTTGCTCATATTTATTGGGGAAAGGATTTACCTACACTACCGCCCAAAAAAAAAACACTTGGCGCCAAATCGCACCCTGCAAGGGCGATTTCAGACACGCCTAATTATGTTTAGTGAACGATTCTATAACCCATTCTAATGCATAGTCATTCGCTATTTTTTAAAACGTAGGCGCCATATCGCTCACGGGAAAGCCCTGGACTCGTCTGATTCGCACTGGCACTGGCACTGGCACTGGCACTGGCACTGGCACTGGCACTGGCACTGGCACTGGCACTGGCACTTGCACTTGCACTGGCACGTTCACGTTCACGTTCACGCATTTACATTTACATTTACATTCACCGTTGCGAAGCATGAGTCTGCTGTTATAAAAAATACTTACTCTGGGCTAAAATCAACTAGCTCGCCTTTTAAGTCATACTGCCACTGATATCGGTTGCTTGTACAAATTCTGTTTATTAAATTATTTTTTACTTCCGCCTCAATTCGAGAAATTTCGTTCTGAACTTTTGCTAGTTTTCCGAATCCAGACATGTTAACTGTATTTTTGTTAACTTTGACAGATACCATGCACTTGTTTCCTACTTTTCTTAATCTGTATATCTGTTGATTAATAAAAAAATTACCTTGTATTTGATTAACAGTTATGCAATTTATTTTTAGCCAAACGTATTCAGTTAACATCAATTTAATAAGCAATTGTGTTGAGCAATACAATCGGATTTACGGCATGATTTTAAAAGCATATAAATTGTCTGATATTAAACATATAAAAGCACACACACACACACACACACATATATATATATATATATATATATATATATATATATATATATATATATATATATATATATATATATATATATACATATATATATATATATATATATATACATATATATATATATATATATATATATATATATATATATATATATATATATATATATATATATATATATATATATATATATATATATATATACGTATACGTATATATCAATAGGCTCCGTTAAAAACAGTCTCAAAAAAAAATAATTTCCTTTTTTTAAATACATCAAGAGCCTGTATGATTTCGCATAATGCCTTAAAATATCATAGAAATCTGTAGAATGATTATTGAGATATAATCATTTGAACAAACCGCCTATTATTTCTTGCGCTAAAAACTCGGCACAAAACTAATACCGCTATATTTGTAAGTACACTTTTGATCGGAAAGACAGTCGCACGCTGCAATCACACGATTTTACACCAAGGAAGTCAAAGTACTTATAAGTAAAGATATTTGATTAATTATTATTATCTATTGTATTACATTTTATCATTATTTTAACGAATAATAAACAAAGAGTATTTGTTTAATATAGTTAATTTCCAGTAAATTTTTAGAAACCAAACTGATTTGATAACATTTTTATTAGGCTTTATAACACTATAGCAATAATAATTGAATAAATTCTTATATGCCATTCAAATCCTCGGTCTGCTATTACAAACAAACATACATAATTGAACTTTATGTATATATATATATATATATATATATATATATATATATATATATATATATATATATATATATATATATATATATATATCAATATATATATATATATATATATATATATATATATATGTGTGTGTGTGTGTGTGTGTATAGTAAATAGCAACAACTTACTTGTGCACCAGTAAATTCTTTGATTGAATGCGACGTTTGTGTATTATCAATGTGAAATCTTTCTAAATCGCAGGTCAATGAATCCATTGCTTTTTTCTCACAGTCTTGGTTTGTGTAAACAATTTCAATTTGCACGCCAGTAGAAAGAACTTCTGACGCTAATGGAGCTAAGAAATAAAAAAACAACTGATATTTTAAATAATCTAACCGTAACTGAAAATGAAAATACATTATGTCTGTTTAAGTTGTAAAATTATTGTACTTATAAACTTTCATATTCCATTTTAAGCTAATACTATTGCTCAGTAAGTGTAAAAAATTTACCTCGGCAAAGATTATCAATCTTGTTGTAAATATCCTTAGTATATAGTGATAGTATTACATCTTTCAAATTTTTAGGATTGCTCATTCCAAATGTATGAATCACGGTCCTAATGTCATTTATAACATTGTCATCATAACCTAAACACGTAAATTATCAATATTCATTTTGCAAATATATCGCAGTTGAAGGGAAAAAATAAAACGTACAATAAACATTAACAATTAGTAGGTGTTTAATCATATAACATGTAGTAGCGCATGTTAATAAACAGAAATGCTTAAAAACGTTTTAATAAAAAAAGCGTTTATGTAATAATGCACTAAAAATACATGATTTTATTGAAATATATAACAATACAGTACTATTAACCCTTTATTTACGGAATTAGGTTCCGAATGACATTTTTTCTTAAACAATGTGTTATCATATTGCTTTTGGCACATTTAAAGCATAGTCGAAGGAAATTTTGTTTCATAAATGTTTAATGGCCCAAACATATATTTGTACTTATAAGTACCGTCAGGAATGTAGGACATTTTTTCCAAAAATTAAAAAAATTACAAAACAGGAAAAAACGATACACCCTATTAACTAATAACATGGCAATCATTATAACAATCATTTTTTTGTAATTTTCACACATAAACCCAGCACGAAAGTATATTTTTAGTCCAATTTTTACTGGATTTTCTATCGGAACATATCTCAGACCTCAAACACAGGAAAAGGTGCCGACATGTCATGCTCCCTTATTCCTCATTTCTGAGACATTCTTGTCTTTCGTCTTTCTGGTGTGGCAACAGTTGCCGGACTGAACCTGCTTTTGCTGAAGGCTTCCAATAGCCATTACAATGAGCCGCATAAACAAATATTTTGAAAACGAAATCCTAGTTATTCACTACACTACTACTAGTAATGCTAGTATAATTGTAGCCTACTAGAATGTTATGAAAAGTCTACACTACAGTGTAAAGTTCATAAAGAGAAGTGAGCTCAATGTGTTTGGAATAGCTGTTTTGTGTTTACTGATTCAAAATTACAAAACGATCTACATGCAGATGTATGGACTATTACTAGTCTACATGTATACATTACCTACACGCTAGCTATTGTAGGCAAGACAGTTTTTTGCAACAAATATAACTTACAAATCTTACTTCTAGAACTAGACTTTGGTATACAAATAACGTACACTAAATCTAGTAAACGAGCCTGCAACTGGCACCTCTATTCTTGTTATTCTTTTACTACTAGAAATCTGCAATTAATTACAATATTTCTGAGGAAAACCCTATGGTAACCTTCTTATAAATGCATAAATATATTTTTTTTAATTACATTTCGATAATTAATTATCAAAATAATATTTATGTCACTCAACATAAAAAATCTGCAATTTTGAAGAAATCCTAAAAAAAATGTCCGTGTGCCCTGACGGTACTTATAAGTCCACTTGTAAACATCGATCTATTACAAAGACAATTTGATAAAAATTGTATAACTAGAAGTTAAACCCATTTGCCTGACTATTGAAGATGCCAATAAAAAATATTCGGTGTTGAAAACTTGAAGAATAAGGTAAAACAAAGGGAAATCAGGAACGTGTGTGAGATATGTACAGAACGATTGTGAACTACTGATACAGGTAGAGATTGAAAATGGCGCCGCACTAGAAATTTTCAAAAAACATCGATCCCTCCACATACCTGTGACTCAAGGGAGATGATACTATCAATTACATCAATAATTTTTAAAATTCGTCTTAAATTAAAAATAATACAGGCGCTTAATTAAAGTGGTACTTATAAGTACCGTCAGTAGATAAAGGGTTAAAATAACTGTGCAGAGCTGCTTCTTAAATTTTAGCTATTTAAGTGAACATAAAAAATGGGAATACCTTAGCGCGGTGAATAGTATTTGATGTAGACAATTTTAATTTAATTTATTTAAAAAAAATAGACATTCACTTAAGTCGAAATTGGTGTCAGATTGCATTGACATTGTGTCTTAACCTCCGATCCAAGTTTTAAACAATTCGGTCAGTTAGAAGGGATCGAAATTTTACTTGGTATTTTCAATCCGCGACGAAGCATGAGAAACGGGCAAAGGAAGCAAGTGAAATAAAAAAAACAATGTACCAAGTATAAAAATTAATTTAAATACTAATTTTAAATCAGCATAGTTTTATTAATTTGTATATTAATTCAGACATTAACGATTTTATCTGTATCCATATATAGCTTGATAGAAACTGGATTAGATCATAATTGAAACAAATATATAAATATTTTAAGAAGCAAAATAAAATAACTTATATTTCTGTAAGAAATCTTTTGCTTAACATTTCACTTAGATATGGTTTTATATATACATATATATATATATATATAAATATATATATATATATATATATATATATATATATATATATATATATATATATATATGCATGTATGATATATATATATATATATATATATATATATATATATATATATATATATATATATATATATATATATATATATATATATATATATATATATATATATATATATATATATATATATATATATATATATATATATATATTTATTTATATATATATATATATTTATATTCATATATATATATATATATATATATATATATATATATATATATATATATATATATATATATATATATATATATATATATATATATATATATGGTGACGGGACAAATGATCTCAGGACAAATGATCTCAGAAAAAATATCTCAGACAAAATATCTCACGGACAAATTATCTCAGAACAAATTATCTCAAGGACAAATGATCTCACGGACAAATGAGTTCAAGGTCAATTGATCTCACGGACAAAAACAAAAGAACAAAATATATCAGGACAAATAATTCCACGGACAATTAATTTCAGACAAAATATCTCAGACAAAATATCTCACACCTAAAAGTAGTATGGGTGAGGATGTGGATGCGGATGCGGAGCAAAGGATATATAGGAAAATACTCGGGATGCGGAGGAGCCGCAGGGACAACGAGATATAGTGAAATACTCACCCACCTGGGTGAGTGGGTGATGCGGATGTGGAGCCTGGGACAATGAGATATCGTAAAATACTCCACATCCTGGGTGAAGTTGGGTGAGGGTGATGCGGATGTGGAGGGTTAGACATGTTATATAGTAAAATACTCACCCACCTGGGTGACGGTGGGTGGGTGGTTGGGTGAGGGTGGGTGAGGCGGGTGGGTGAGGGTGGGGGATGCGGAGTAGGTCAGTAGGTCACCACCGGAGACCTTGTGACATAATCAACAGCAGTGACGTTGTGACGTAATCACCATCGGTGACCTAGTTACGTAATTTTAATGAGATTTTAATGAGATTTTTAATTCGTTTTTATTTGTTTGTTGTTTTTACTTAATTGTTATTGACTAGTTATGTAATTTGATTATTTAATTGATTTTTATTTTTGATTAGTTTAAATTTTAATTTTTTAAAATTTTTAATAATTATTATTATTATTTTACTTTAATTACGTAATTTGATTTTAATTTTTAAAATTTTTTAATTTTATTTTTTAATTTAAATTTTTAATTTTAATTATTTTTTATTAACTAGTTACGTAATTTGATTTTAATTTTTTTAATTTTTACATTTTTTTTTTATTTTTAAATTTTTAAAATTTTAAAATTTTTTAAATTATTATTTTTTATTTCTAAATTTTATTTTTTAATTGTTGTTTACTTGTTGTTTAATTTGTTGGTTGTTTATTTGTTTGTATGTATGTTTAATAGTAAAACACGCCACCACCTGGTGGTGGTGTTGGAGAGGGGTGGTGGTTGAGAGGGGTGGTGGTGGTGGTGGATGAGAGGGGGAGTAATGACGGGGGTGGATGAGAGGGGTTCGCTAACGCCGACAAAAATAGAAAGTTCTTTGTGTCCTGACTTCCATTTAACCACAGCTATTACTCATTAGCGACAGCTGTTACTTATCGACCCGACCGTTTTTTGACACCCGCGATTGATTAATGTCGGGTTCACTGAAGCGACCACACTAGGGGGTCTGGTAATTAATCGAATCCATTATGTGCTTCTCAGCGTAGCCAAAATGCAACAGCTGGTACCACACTTTCCACTAACTGTTATACGTACAGTGCCATAGGTTTTTGATCGAGAAGAGAAATAATATTGATCGACCCGCGTCGAGCCTGTGTATCCATTAGCCAATATGCAACAGCTGGTCCCCCACTTAGCGGTGGCTCTCGGGCTTTTTTCATTAACTGATTTTAAGGTTTCCTTGTACCATCATTCTAAACGTATACACATTCACACACACACACACACACTAAAATTAAAACAAAAGTCTTCTTATATTTTATTTATTTATTAACGTTTTTTCCAAATCATCAAAAGGCTTTTAAAATATTATGTTGTAAACTTAACAAGCGTTCAATACATACTCGATTATAGTAACATGGGTGAGGGCGGTGAGCAGGTGGGTGAAGGGTGAACAGGTGGGTGAAGGGGGGAGAAGGTGGGTGAAGGGGAAACACGAGTAGGAGTAAAGGATATATAGTAAAAGATTCCACCACCTAAGTGAGGTGGGTGAGGAGGTGGATGTTAATTTTTTTTTTCATCAGCTGTTAACTTTAAGGTTCTATAACTCTATATATTTAAATACATTTTTTTTTATTCAACCGATTTTACTTTCCCTAACGTAAGTACATGTAAAGAGGGGTTTCCTATAGATCTGTAATGAATTAGGCCTTTTTGACTAGGACTTGTTGCCCAGGTGTTGACATGATACGCTTTTTTGAGATACACGTACACACACACACACAGACACACACACACACACACACGCACACGCGCGCGCGCGAAATTCATACTAGGTCGGTAAAGGCGGAGAGAACTTATAGGTATACATTATCATGGCGACAACAAAAGCGACCCTTATTTTATTTACATGAAAGAGTGTTTTCCAAAAAGTGTCATCATCCATTTGTCATTTTCGCAGCGGGGTTTATTTTAAGAGCACCCCGTGCACGCTTGTTTACATTTTAAAAGGCGTGTCGCGTGTCGTCCCCACATGTCTTCCCTAATAGAGAAACGAGAGGAAAGACAACTGTTCTAAAA